TGGATTGATTCAGTGACTGGGGTAATAGGGGTGGGTGTGTCAGAGACGATAAGGTTGGCTCAGGATAGAGCAGATTTTAGGGTTGTTGTACGTAGGGTCACTATGAGACGTGGACGTGAGCAGCTCAACAGCACATAACAATAACAAATCATAATTAGACTTTAAAATATTCACTTGGTCAAAAGATAAAAAGAACACATACCATATTGTTCATTTTATATGAAGTTCAAACTTCAATGAGAACCTTGACTAATGTCAGCAAATGCTCTCACAACCTATCAGCAAAATGACAGAGAATGAAACAATCCAGAGATGATTTACTAATGTCAGTGAATGCCCTCACAAAGATAAAGCCAGAATACAGTTTTCTGCTGTTGCTTTCCAAAACTATAACCTGTCTTTAAGCGAAAACAAATGTTCTCCATGATAACCTTCTAGGCTGCTGAGAAATAAATACAGAATGGGTCTCGGTAAAAACACTCCTGAGCCTCAAGGTCTTGAGTCAACCACACCCTTATTCTAAATAAATCATGTCTGTGTGTATTCTACTATGCTGTGCTGCTCCACTCTGACCCCATCAACATGAACAGGTTCTTAAGCATGCATGCATCCTTCCTCCCACTCTTCCATCTGTCCATCCTTTTATCCATCCATCCACTCAAAAGGCATACAAATGCTTCTGTTGTTCCAACACACCCCTAATCATTGCTTATGCCCATCAGTGTCCGCTACCTAGCCACTTAGCCATTCATGTTCCCCTCTCCCACTTCCTGTCCTGAGATATGCTCTGTATTAAACCCTATACCTCAGCTACAGGATGAATGAGGTTGGTCTAAGCAGGGGCACGGTCTCTGGTCTCCTTCTTGCAATGGCTGGTTCAAGAAAGGACTGGGCCACAGTGGGGACCTCTGGGAGTCAAGGAAGTCATCACTAAGAATGAAGTTGCAGGTGAATAGAGCTACTCATTTCTGCTTTTTGAGTTGAAGTTTTTTTCCAAGAGTTGGCACATGGCTAGTTGAGTGTCAAGTTTCATAGTTCTGAGCAGGTGGTGGGTAGAAACTCTTTATTCCTTTGGGTAGTATGTCCCCATGGGGGAAAGCAGCACCTAGAAAGAAGCTTAACGAATGCCAGATAAGCAGTTTTCACCATGCTGTGAAGGTGCAACAGAACTACAGTCCTGGGGTGCATGGTCTTTCTCCAAGGCAAAGCACCAGCGTACATGACTCACTGGACTCTAAGCACCTACATGTGAGCAGTTTTCACCATGCTGCCAGTGTGCCTGTTAAGTAACTTCATCACATTATGACCAGTGAACTCTATGTCAAGAACATCCATGTAAGCACGTTGTCTGCTACAATCCAAACACCTTGACTTACAAGTACTTTTACAAGAGTACTTTATTTGTGGATTCCTTAGCTAACTGAACTAACATTTGTTTTTTCTCACTAAAAGCCCAAATCTTCAACAATGCTTGGTGTGTAAGACTGACAGTTTCACTCCACTTGTTTTTCTCTTGGCTGGTATAAGCTGCCAGGTTCTCAGTGTACTGCAAGACTGACTTTAAGAATCTGTTCAAAGAGAAAAATAAATTACCTCTTTATCCATTCCATTACACAGAACAATGACGACATTAATGCCTTCTGCTCTTCACAGAAATTACTTCTGACATAATTGTACTCAATCTTTGTCTCAAGGTTCAAGAAAAAGAATTCAACACAAAATGAACCTAAGATAACACAATTACTTGAAACAGAGAAACAGTGAAATGTAAACCCCATCCGAGACTGGTGTGGGCTTCAGGAAGGGGCGATCAGCTGCTCTGCAGTCAGCCTACTCACAGTGGTCTCCGCTTTAAGGCAGCATTGTCTGGGCCCAAGTACCTCCATCACTGGTTCAGAACAGACCATGGAGGTCTGCAGGGTTTTCACTGGCTGATCTTCAGACACAAAGCCCAGGTCTCTCCTCCCACATCTACTGATACCTGTTGTGCATTGCACACACCTCTATTGACAGATAAGTGGTGGCTATATCTGAGGGCAGGGGGCAGTAATCGAAGCCAGGTCTCCCTTATGAAACGTGACTGTTCTACCATAGACCCATCACCGTTCTCATCCTCAAAGTGTACAAAACACAAATGCCTCCTCTGCACGTTCTCACAAATACAACATTTAGTCTTATGTGATGAACTTCATCTCGGAGGATCTTATAGGCCACCAGATCCACTGACATGCATCTGGTGCATCTAAGGGAAAAATTACAGACCCTAACCCACATGCAGTCCTTCCGAATACCCATCTCTTCTCAGCACACCTCCATGTCCATCTGAGTACCCACCTTCTTTCCTCAACGCACCTCCATGTCCCACTGAGCTCTATGCTCTTCTCCACAGCACACACTTCTATGTCCATCTGGATACCCACTTTCTCTCTGCAGCACATCTCCATGTCCATCTGAGTACTGTACCTTCTCTCCACAGCACACACCTCCATATCCATGTGAGCGCTATACTTCTGTCCACAGCACACACCTGCAAGTCCATCTGAGTACCTACCTTCTCCCCACAGCACACACTTCTATGTCCATCTGAGTACCCCACCTTCTCTCCTCAGCACACACCTCCATAACCATCTGAGAACCCCACCATCCTCCTCATCACACCTCCATGTCCTGAATTCTATGCTGCTCTCCTTGCCACACTTCCATGCCCATCTAGGCACCCTGGCTTCACTACTAAGATGGACAGCTATTGGTTTAGTTTTGGGTTTTTTCTAAAAAATATGGAATGCCTCACAAAGTTGTGTATCATCTTTGTGCAGGAGCCATGCTAATCATCTCTGTATCATTCCAATTTTAGTATATGTGCTGCCAAAGAGAGCACTAGCTATTGTTTTACAGGAGACTATCTGTTTGAGGATCACTGTGGCTACCAGTCATTTCTCTGTGCCATCATCACCCAAAATACTCGTGACCAAACTGGATGTTGTGAGGGTCCCAATGGTAGTGCTAGCCACAACACTGGCTAACTTCATGGCACTGAGTTTGTGGAAGGGAACATAGGACACCCCAACCTGTGGGGCAAGAATCATCTTGGGGACCCACCAGCAGGAGTCAAGATGAGGCAGAGCCAGTCACCAAAACAGTGTAACTGCTTCCAAGTCTGAAGTACTCACTTCAAGTACTGCTGATATTCACAGGTACTTTTTCCTTGGACAGTGAATATGTTGCTCAATTCCAGTGCAATGAGCAGCAAAATGAGGTAAAGGACAGGAGAAAGAAGCCTAATACTGAAACAGAAAAAAATAAGTAATTTATAAATGCTTCCCACTTTTACAAGGAAAGCATGGTTCCACCCAGCTAAGCACTTGTGTCTCCCTTCCCAGCGAAATGGAGCACAAACTGGTCATGATCTGAGCTCGTGGGTGTCAGATCCACCTCCCCAGCAGCAGGTCACTTTTGGGAGTGCAGAGGCTGTCCTTCTCCATCCCAAGGGTTTCTATTTCATTCACACTGTGGAGAACCTTCCCAATAGTAACTCAGGGCCCACCTTGTTCTCCAGGTCCCCAAGTTCTCTGTCTGGGACAGCCCGACATGCTACTTTTCTAGCATTCCTTAATAGCAGAAAATATTTGAGTGTTCCTTTGTTGACAGGTTTCTGCCTCACACAGGTTGCACCTTTCACAAATTTCACCATAATATGTACTAAAACTTTCTTCAAAGGCAAGTATTTCTTGGAGTAAGGTTTTAAAACACTCCATCCCCAGGTACCTTCCTAAAGACCTCCCCACCTCCTCAACATGCGCAGATAGTTGTGCCTCTGTCGAGACCGCAAGGTCTTCTGCACCCACTGCTGATGTCGCAGCTCCGTGGAGGCAATGACTTGTTCAGACACTTGGTGACACCGTGTGCTGACTTTCCGGAACACTGCCAGCACTTCGAGCACAATTCGAGGAGAGTACAAAGTGGGGATGGGTACTCTGCAAAGCTCACTGAGCACTGAAGTCCACCTGCAGAGTGGACAGAGCTTCTGAGGGCAGTGTTAGTGGACAATGTGGGGGTGACCTGTAGTTTCCATAGGATAGGTATGCTTCACGGGCAGTTTAAGTGTACTAAGCAAAGGATGTTTCCTGTATCTGGTTAAACACATGAAAAGAGAACAGGGCCAATGCATCTCACTGTCACTGCAGTAATTCTTCTTTGGGGCAGAAACAATGAAATTCTAATACCACCACAAAATAATAAAATAGTAGAAGTACAAAATGCCTATGTTTAATGCTCCTTGCTCGTTTAATCAATGTTTCCATAATTCTCACAATGTTCTAAAACTTACCTATCAGTCCAAAGATTATCCAGATTATCAAAGTCATGTCGGTTCCCTGGTAAGTGACAGCAAAGCTCACAAATAATCCTTATCATTAAAGAATTACAGGTACTTGTTTCAAATTCACTGTCCAATCTGAAAGACAGAGATGATTAAAGGACCAACAACTAAAACGTCCATATTATTGTTATTGTTGTTGTAGGGTGCCAAAGAATCATATGACCTACAGCGACATTATGAAGATTTAAACTTGTCCTGTTCTGTTTCACCCTCACCATCTGACACACTTGAGCTCACTGCTGCAGTCACTGTGTCAATCTATCAGGTTGAGGGTCTTCCCATTTTGCCAACCCTCCAACTTTCCAAGCATGATGTCCCTCTCCAAAGAAGAGTCTTTCCCAGCAACATGCCCAAACTATGTGAGATGAAGCTTTATCACCTTTGCCTCCTTAGTGCAGTCTGGCTCCAACTTTTCCAAAAGACAAGTTTGCTCTTTTGGCAGTACATGGGATAGTCAGTACTCTTCTCTAACACCAGAGGGCAAAGGCATCAATTATGTCATCCTTATTCACTGTTCAGCTCTCAGAAG